TGGAGTGGTTTTTTATTCTGTTTGCCATTTTGATTCCTTATTACTTCCCTTTTATCTCTCTCTTTCCCCCTTGTTCCCAACCCTCTTCAGTTCCGTACATGGAGGTCTTCCTTTCTTATTTGTGACCGTGGCCATGTAGTCTTATATTTCATTTTTCTTTTGTATTAGAAGATGAAGGGGGATAATTCTAGCAGGAGCTGAATCTTCCATATTGTCATTAGTTTCAAAATTTCTCACTAGAACCGCCCGCTTAGCAATGACAATACCTATCATAGGCTTCTGATCCTGGGTCCATCACTAACCAGCTCATGACAGGGGCAAGTTCCTTCCTGTCTGGGCTGCATCTTTTTTTTTTTTTTTTAATTAATTAGTTTTTTTTTTTTTTGAGAGGTTTTTGCTATAGGGCACGTGCACTCGCCAGAAATAGAGAGACAGAGAGACAGAAAACGAGAAATCACCCCACAGGGGGGATGGCCATGCAGCAATTCCTTCTCCTTCCTTCTCCTCTTGGGATCTTGGGCATGCATGCACATGCTCCCAATGTGAGTTTAAGCCACTGGGTCCAGGACTAGAACCGTGGTCAACTACATGGGAGTCCAGAATTAGTTTTTTGTTGTTTGAGAGGTTTTTGCTATAGGGCACGTGCACTCGCCAGAAATAGAGAGACAGAGAGACAGAAAACGAGAAATCACCCCACAGGGGGGATGGCCATGCAGCAATTCCTTCTCCTTCCTTCTCCTCTTGGGATCTTGGGCATGCATGCACATGCTCCCAATGTGAGTTTAAGCCACTGGGTCCAGGACTAGAACCGTGGTCAACTACATGGGAGTCCAGTGACATAGCCATTATGCCAACTGCTGGTCCCCTGGGCCTCATCTTTGGACCTGGAAACTGTAGGAGTCAGAGAAGGGATGGGGACAACGAGGAGGTGAGAACAAGAGCGGATGCTGGTGGCAGTGACATACACCCACATGTGGGGTCCAGAGTTTAATTTTTGGTGAGAAGTCCTGTTCCACTAACTTACACGGGAACAACAGGCAACCGGACATCACTGTGAGTCAAGATTTCTGAGTCAGAAATAACTGGGTTCTGGTCCTAGCTTTGTGCCTGACTGCTGTGTGATCTTGGACAAGCCTTAACCATTTGCACCTTAGTTTTCTCTCAGTGATATGGGACAGTGTGGGGGCAGGGTGTTGCCAGGAACTTGTGAGATAGTGTGGATGAAAAGCACTTTGCAAATCTAAAAGTTCTCTGTACATGCACAGTTTTATTATTTGGCACAGTTTGGGTCCTCTGGGAAGCAGATGCATAGACATAATAGTGTTCAGGATGTTTTTAAAAAGTGTCCTTGTGGGAAGGAAGGGAAGGAAGCAGGACAGGGCAGAGGGGGAGGCCACACTGAGATGAAGGCCCCAAAGCCTCAGCCAAACCTACGTGGAGCTCAAACAGTCCTGCATTGGACCTTTATGTCCCTCATCACTGGGTAAGGGTGATGATACTTCTGGCAGGGCAGGACAGTGGGCCCAATGTGCTGACAGCCCTGCCACCAGCTGGGGTTATAAGTCTTTCTGTGAAGGAGGATCTGGGTGGTGTACCTCCATGCTCACCTCTTTATTGTTCATTATATGGCCACTCCTAAACATCAGGCTGTGCTGATCAAAGGCTGGGGCGCTCTGATAGGGCTTCTGCTGCTCTGGTACTATTCGCCAGCTACTCTCGTGAGTTCTATATCAATGGCTTCAGTCTTTAATTTCTGAGAATAGGATAGGAAATTCCTCTTCTGTTTGCTCTGGGATCCAGAAACCTATCCCACCTGGTTTTGCCTTGGAGTGAAATAGACTCTTGAGGCAGGATATAAAAACCAGTGAACGTAAATAACTTGATTTAATTAAAAGCAACAAAGCTCCCTGTGTATACATGCAGGAGTACACCTGTGAGTATGTACGTACACCTGGGTATGAGCTCATGTTGGGTACATTTATATGTGAGTACATGTATGAGGCTCTGGACAAGAGAGACTGCAGGGCAGGTGTCCAGAGTAGATGCACTCCCACAAATGGGTGGTGTGCTATGAGAATGTCAGTCTGTGTGTAGATGTCATTTATTCATTCTTTAATAATGAAGCATATAATGTGCCATGTCCTGTGCTGGGAGTTGGAGACAAAAATAGCTAAGACATGGTTTCTGCCTCCAGAAACTTATCATCTTGTGGGGAGACAGAGATAGCAGTACAGGCATTCTGGGTAGGGTGAGGTAAGAGAACTTGTAGAGGGGAGCCCTGGTGGGTACCTAAATCGGACCTGGGGAACAGGAGTGATGTTTCCTGAGCAGAAGGCCCTAGAGTAGAATCTTGCAGAGTGAGTGGGAGTTACTCAGCAAGGATGATGGGAAAGGTGAGCAGGACTTTCACACACAGAGCAAAATGACTGTTAAGGGAGTCATGGGAGTCATGAGTTAAAGTGAAGGGGCTCAGAGGGCAGAAGAGATTCTCCCAAGTCTTATATTTTCAGTGAAGGCATGTGAACTTTCTTCGGAATAGAAGGTGGCATAGCCAGTCATATTTTCATCTTAGAGGCACACTCTGGCAGCAATGTAGGGGCAGATGGGAGCTGCTGGAGCCCAGGGCCTGGATGCATCCCTGTACCTGTGTTTATGATGATGTACACACATACGGCTGCTTGGCTGTCTGTGCCTCTGTAGTCTGTGCACCAGGTGTGCTGTCCACAAAGACTTGTTTCCTGACTCTACCCTCTGGCCTTGGCAGCCCAGTGGGCCCAGAGGATGGCTATCCTGCTGGTGATTCATGAGTGAGTGCATGATGGGGAGCCAACTGGTCAGGAGCTAGCTGGCAGGTGCTTCCTCAGGGCCATAGTCACATCCCTGCCCACTGGACAGATGGTGAGGTGATTGGCAGGCAAGGGGAGAATGCTTCCTTACCTCCTGCCAGTCTTCCTGAACTGCACTCCTCCATCTGTGCAGAGTATAGATGAAGCTTGGCTAGCCCAGCTACTGCCTGCCCCAGCCTGTGCATCAGAGTGAGGGGGAGACAGAGTGAAGACAAACTGGGAGGATGGATTGCCACACCCCATTATCCCTTTCTGGCTCACTCTGTCTCTCTCTGGGCACATGCTATTCAGGCACTGAAGTCATGCATTTTGATATTAATCAGCTATAACTGTGTTATCCTGCAAAAAATAAGAATTATCTATCATATTTCCTATACTCTATAATGTGATCCATAAGGAAAAAAAGGCATTTGGTTTGTAATAAAAAAATATAAGGATGGCGTGTTGGTTTTTAACTTGGAATTTAGAGTCCAAATGTGTGGGCTCAAATCTCAATTCATTTCTTAAATGGCCATAGGATGTGTGTGCTTGCCAGAGAGAGACAGAGAGAGAGGGGGAAGGTGCCCTGCAATGAGGTGTGATCATGCTTAATATCTTCTCCTCTAGTTCTCCATCTTGTCAGAATTTTGAGCAGGCACACACACATGCCCAGTGTATTTTTCAAGCCTCCAGGGCTGAGATTCAAACCGCGATTGGCTATGTGGGATCCAGCTCCCTTAATCAGTAGGCTACATGACTGGCCCCCAAATCTCAGTTCTGTGCTTACTGGCTATGTAGTTGCTTACTCTTTCTGTGGCTAACCTTCTTCATTTTTAAGATAGAAATGCTAGTATTTCTATAATACTAAATGTGTAAAATAATATTAAATGTGTAAATGCTCAGAATAAGGCCTGATGTTTAAGTGCAGCTATACACTTTAGCTACTATTGCTTGGATTCGAGTCCTCTTAGGTCTATCCTCAACTCACTTAGTGAAAATTTGTAGCTTCTTTGGGCTTCTAGAAGAACCCTGCAGAATCTAAAGTTGGCCAGTCTTTTATCCCCAAGGACCAACACTATTTTCCACCACCTCATTCTTTTTCTCTGACATGGATTTTTGACTTTAAAAGATTTTGGTTGCTAAAATTCATTTCTTAAATATAAACCTATGAGGACTCATCAAGGTTTCTCTTGGACTTTATAAAATGCTAGGAGTTGCTCACACTACTCCCTACTAAGAACTCTTTGATCAGGTGAAATGATTCCTGAGAAGTCACCCATTTCCACTCCACTTCAGATACTGTCACCTCCACAGCAGGAAGCAAGTGCCCTCAGATATTACTGAGCCATAGAGTTGATAACTCAGTGAACTCTGAGCTAGAAGAGGCTTCATGTTGGCTCTTGAAATGTTCCCTGCCCCTGGCACCAGTATCTCTCAGGGTATCATTCAGAGAAGCCCGCATCCCTGCCAAGTTCCATGACTCCCTGATGGGGATAAGCTGTCTGGTAAATCCAAGAACAAGATATGGCTAGGGCAGGCCATTTTTCTGGTGATCACTATTTTGATCTGATGAGTCCTATGTGCTAGCTTTTCTATGTATTAGCTTTTAAGATTTCTGCAGTACTCTTCCAAGGCACTTGTTATTATCCCCATGGAATAGATGATGAAACTATGGTCAGAGAAGTGATTTGTCCAAGTTCGACTAGCTTGTAAATGATGACGTTTAGAATTTCTCCCATATATTAAAAAATATTTTATTTAACTTTATTTGTTTTCTTATTTTAATTTGGTGAGAGAGAGAGAGAGAGATATCAAGCCGCCAGGTCCGGGACCCAAACTTCAGTTGATCATGTGGGAGTCCAGTGCCCTTAACCATCAAGCCATCTGCTGGCCTCCTCCCATATATTAAATCACATAGTTCTTGCTTACCTTTGAAATTGCCATGCTCTCCATTTTGTAGACGAGAAAACTGAGGCTTAGCAAAGTTAAAAGATTTGTGTGTCACAGAGCTATGAATTGTCAAATGGGTTGAATCCAGGTTTAATTTTTTTTTCCTATGCGCGACCAGCCTCCTCCCCACTCACTCACCCGATTTGGTACATGGGTGAGACTGTGGAAAGCTTAATAGCTTTCCCGTTAATCTCAGTGGTTTTGCCAAGGAAGGTAGAAACCTACCTTGGATATCATCATTGAACATGCAGTACTTGTTGCGGTATTTGTTGAGCAGGCGGAAGGCATTGGCATTGGCAAAGTCTTCAAACTGGATGAGGCAATTTATTCCAAATCTGTGGGGAGGGAAAGGAAAGAATGCATGATTGCCTTCTCCAGGCACATCCCTGGCAGATCCCAGCCTGTGCTGGGGAGTGGAGCAGTGTAGGCCATGGGATGGGGGGTGGCACAGTTTCTTCATCTGGGTGTTTGCCACCCAGATGACTTCTGGGCTTGGAGCTCTGCATGCCCCATCATGGACTCTTTGATCCTGGGGTTTTATTGTTTTGTTGGTATCTCTTAGTCTTTCTGAAGGAAGCATGATAGGGATTATTAAAAATTACTTCACATATGGACAAATACCAGTTTTATCACATAGGTCAATTTGTGACTGAGTAACAGTATCTGAAGTTATGTTCACTGAAAAAAACAATGTCCTGATTGATTGTTAAGGAGTGTCAGGGCACGTGATTTGGAGAAGTGTGCCATTCCCAGCCTGGTGTGAACTACAGGCATGGGACCAGCTGTGGAAACATTCATGGCCTTGCTAGAAAAGTGAGTGGGCACATACTTGGTAGGCTTCCTGCACTCTTGGGGGCATCTTTGTGATGACAGCTGGTGGCTATGAAGGAGTGTATAGAATTGAAATGGCCCAGGAAATGTTTTTTCCAACCTCATAATTTTGTACATGGCTTTCTTGTCCAGCAGAATGCCAGTAGGTGGGCAAATATTTGCTCCTGCCATGTCCTTCCAGAGCCTTACCTTGTTGGGGCTACTTGTGGGGAGCTAGGAGATGGGTTCACAGGATGGGGACACAAACAGAGAGGCAATAACTTTCCTGCATGCTTGTTGGCCTGACCTCGCTCTTCACATACAACTGAGTGACCTTTTGCATGTCATTCACCTGTCTATTCTGCCTTGGTTTCTTATCTGTCAGTGGATGATAATCTCTGCCTGGTCAACTGCTGTAGATGTTATGAGGATTAACAGCTGAGGGTGATTTTTTCCCCCCAGTTTAACTGAGGTATAATTGACAAATAAAAACTGCATATATTTAAAATGTACAATTGATGATTTGATATATGTATACCTTGTGAAATGATGACCACAATCAAGCTAATTAATCTGCTCATCATTTCACACAGTTACCATGTTTTTTTTTTTGGCAAGATAAACTTCAGATCTATTTTCTTTGCAGATTCCAAGTATACAATACAATATTATTAACTATAGTCTGAGGGTGAATTTTAGACTGTAAAGTGCTAACTGCTACTGTCATTCTGGACACAATTCTTTTTTCACAGTCATAGAGCAAGTGATGATGGGGTATTTGGGGGGCTGGCTGTATCTCCTGACCCATCATTCAGCCCTCTTTTTCCTGTACTATGAATAGAAATGATAAATAAAAACTCCCATGCACAAATATAATGCCGTGCTCACTAAGCGAAAATTTACTGTGAATTTTTGTTCAGGGTGTGAATTTCAAATATTTGGATTAGGAGGGGGGAACGGAATGTCTCTGGTTGCTGGTGACATTTCGCTATATTTAATTCCCACAAGTATCCCAGTGTTGCTCTAAAACTGGCCTGGGGCTAAAATACCAAAAAGGTCAGACAACAAAGCAGTATGATGCATGTTCTCTGTCTCTCTCACTCACACAAACACATGCACACACAGGACCTATAAGGCGATATACATTTGTTGAGGTGAAAAAAATAAGGCAAGAATTATAAATAAATACTTGTGTTCAGGGTATAATTATTATTTCATATTTAATTTAGTTTTATATAAGAAATCTCCTTTCCTTTCATGGTGCAATTTGATTGAATATTGATTAAAACATTCATTCAGGTCACTTTAATTCCAAGTTGGAATTGTCAAAGAGGCCATGTGGATCACTCATTTAATAACCTGGGCTCAGAGTTTCTAGAACGCCTTGTATTTGAGGACCTCCAGAACCCCTGTCCACCTCAAAACTCATTCCCATGATGCTCCTGGAAATTCAACATCAGGAGCTACTAGGAGTGGCTTCAGGATTTCACAGTGTCCCCTTTCTCTCTCTGATCACAGCCTCTTCTTCCTTTTCTTCTTATTTCCTCTACACCTGCTCTGTGAGATCAAGACCTCTTTTACCCTGTATCCCAGTCCCTTGGCCTGTTCTTTAAGGCTTTTCATGAAACTGGACCACTATCCAATCCAAACCAAGGGTAGTTACTTCAGGCATTGCCATAGCACCATCCATCCATTTATCTATCCATCTTATCTCCATCCAAAAGCATCTATTGTGCATTTCTGATGAGCTGATATGGTAATTTAGTAATGTTTAGAAAGGGCTGAATGCAGAAAGGCATGTGTGCCTCAGATCCTAGTGGTCTAGTGAACTGGAGGAAGGAGATCCTGATGTGACTGAGCCCTGTGGAAGTTGCTTCTCTCTCTGTGTGTTTCTCTTTCTCTCTTTCTCACATGCATAAATGTTCTGTCATTGAAAAGAAAAATTTTAGGGACCATCCAGTGGCCTACTGGTTAAGGGAGCTGGATTCCATTTGGCCAACTACAATTTGAATCTCTGTCCCAGAAGCTTGAAAAACCTGCCCAGAATCCCTGCACAATAGAGAAATGGAGGAGAAGGGATTGCAGAAAAACCATGCCCATTGAGAGGAGTGCTTTCACTCCCTCTCTCTGTCTCTCATTCTCTCTCTCTCTGGAACTTGCACCCACCCTCTAGTAATTTTTTTCAAAGTGAAAAATCTAAGTGGCTTTAAAAAATTATTTAATTTTATTCATTCATTTATCTTAATTTGACTGGAGACACACACACACACACACACACACACACACACACAGAGGCAAAGTGAGAAAGCAAGTCACCAGGTCCGGGACTTGAACCGTGGTCGGCCATGTGGGAGTGTCCATCGCCTTAACCATCATGCCACCTGCTGGTCCCTACATACCTGAATTGCTTTTAAAAACTTTCCGTGATTCATCCATGTACATCTAAATTTACCATGCCCATTGAGAGGAGTGCTTTCACCCCTGATTTTAGTATTAATGGTCAGTTACCTTTATGTATTCATTAAAATACTAATGGCAATGGAAATAAAACTAACTCACTTTTATTGAGTATTTATTACCTAGTAGCCATCATGTTGAGCTCTATACATAAATTATTTCAGCTAATCTTCACATGACCTTATGAAATAAGTGTTGTTTCCATAGAAAGCATCCTAGGCTACCAGAGTAAGGTATGATTTACTTAGGAGTTATTTTATTGTACTTGGCCAGTGGCAGAGGTAGAATTTGAATCTGGCTCTATCTGACTAAAGTATCTTAGTTTAGTTTTAATGGCAATACAAATTTGTAAAAGATAAAACTTAAATAAGAAATCTACATATTTTTCTTCATGAGCATAGACAATGTCATGAGATGAAGAAAACGCTGAACAGGAAGACAGAAAAACCATGTCTTTCTCTGTCTCTGACCAACATTGGGAACCTTGGCCACACATCTCTGTCTTTGGGTTTCAGTTTCCTGGTCTGAGAGTTTGGGAGGATAGCATATACTATTTAGTATATGGGGTTTGGGTTAATCTTTAGGAAGTTTCACTCAATTATTTCCTCAAGTCCAAAGCATGAGGTCTGACCATTCTCAGTAATGGGAATCTGGAGGGTCAGCATCTTAGAGTCCTCCTGTGCTTACACAACTGGACCAGTTGAGTAAGCTGCCACCCTGCAGGACACACTGTTAGAGCATCAGCAGGACCCCCTCCAAAGGCCCTTGGGGCTCTGGGAACTTTCCTGATGTTAGTGTGAGAAATCTACTGCTGTCCTTCTATCCTGAAAGCAGTTCTGTTACTGTGAATACCGCACTTATCTGTCCCCTTCTGCATGTATAAACTCTTAACCCTGAGCTTTGGGAGTGGCTGAGGAACATACAATACATCTCTAGTGGAGAATTATTGCAGTGGAGAAAGATGCACCTCCCCAAGTGACACTCAGAGGTGTCCAGACTTCTCAAGCCTGGAGACTAGGCTAGAAATGGCCTTGGAGCTGCCAGGGAAGACATTCCAAGGTCAGGGTTTACTTAAAGGCACAAGGCTGATGGATGTATATTTGCTTTTTTTCCCCCAGAACTCAGACAAGAGGAAGCCTGCAAATGTGACCTGTGCCTGGGAGTCCTAGTGAACTTTGTGTGACAGCATGAATAGACCTCAGTCACAGGGCTGGGTACTTGCCCCCTGGACACAGCCTCCCAAGGGTCAGGATTGTTGTGCCCTCCCCCCAGCAAACTGACCAAATACAGAGTGAAGGATATGGTGACCACCAAACATTCCAGGAACTGCAGACCTAGTTTTTCTGTTCCCTAGGTCAAACACTTACATCTGACCTCTTTCAGGCCTGAACAAACACTAGGGACCTGGGAGGATCAGGGGAACTCACTCAGCCTGTGTCCAAACAGAATGACTAAAAGCTACCGCTCATTTTTCCATGAGCATCCACTCTGTCCTTCCAGTGAAAAATCCACACATAAGAATCCCACAGCAGACTGTCCAGTGAGAATATCTATTGTTTTCCAACAGAAAACTACTTTTATTTTTTTTTCCTTCCAAGAACTAGAGCTGACAGAATCATGAAAACTCTAAACCTTTTTTCTTTTTATGTATTCCATGTAAAACTCCAGACTCTTGAAATGTTCTTAGAAAGAGGTTCTTGGGTTAAGCAAGTTTAGAAACTTCATTAGGACCATTGAAGACCTTCTGCCCAGACTTCACTCTCCTGCCCCCCAGTTCTAGCCAGGAGCCAGGGAAAAGAATGGTACTGTTTAGAGATTGCAGGTCACCTCCTTCTGCATGCCTCTGACTACTCAGATTTAACTCTAGAAACTAGGAATAAAGTTATAATTCATCAGATGACCAGACACCACTGCAGAGGTATAAGAAATATGAGAAACCAAGAAAATATCTCTCCTGTAAGGGAAAAAAGAACTCCTCTTCCTCTACAGACAATACAAGGTAATTTGTGGAAATGCCAGATAAAGAATTTTAAATGTTCATAATGACAAAGCTAACAGAGAAGAGAGA